TTACCACACCCCTGCAGTTTACTAGGTCAGTGACCTCCAGAAACAACAGAGCTGGACCAACCTGTAGCAACCAAATAGAACTAGCAGCTGGCTTTGACCTACGGACAGGGTCCCCAGGAGGAACACAGGAGACGATGTAAAATTCTTGGCTAGTCTCCTAAAAATGGGAGTTGTCATCATCTGATGCTGAAGGCTGTCGCTCAGAGTGAGTGACAGCTGTGGGGTCTGAGGTACACAGGCTCGAATGGCAGCTCCAGTACTTTACTGTGGGTGACCATGGACAAGATATTTCCCCTCACTCTACAGCCAGTTTTCACATCTGTAAGGGTGGGGATAATACAAGAATCTACTTCCCAGGCCTATTTGAGTGTATTAAATCAGACAGGTATACAGAAAGCCCAGCACAATGCCTGGTCAAGAATGAAAACCCAACAAATGGCCTTTAGTATGATTATCAGCGTCTTCACTGGTGGAGCTTGCCCCAAACAAAGGAACTATCTTGTTTCTCTACCATGACGACTGTGGTTTAGCAATTACCATTGTCCTTAGTTGACTGCATGTCACTGTCTGTCCAGAGTCCCCTCAGATCCATCCCCCCATTGCTTGTCCTGGTTGTCTTGGCTGATACTGCTTTTCTTGGTAATCATACGTGGCTTTCTGGTTGTCACCAGACTGTGGGGGCAGGGCCAGCACGTACAGTTGTGTTGTGTACTGCACAAAGGCACTGTCTGATGGGGAAATGGGAGAGTGGGGATGTGGTCAAGCCAGGCTGGGTTTGGCTTGGCTTCTTCCCAAAGAAGGAGTCAGCTTAGGGGTGGAGAGGCTTTTTGTCCTCAAATTGTTGGTTTGGGGAATCTTTGATCTGTTTGTTGTTGCCATATTCCCTTTCATTGTCAGGTGACAGCACCACTGTCAATACGCACAGCTTCCAGAACATTCTAAGTTTCTAGTCTCCATGCTCCCTGCTCCATCCCATCTCCCTCTTTTACACCTGCATCCATCTAATTTCCTGCTTCTAATATGCCACGATCCAGGGCAGCATTTCTCAAACCATCCTTTTTTTTTTCTTTTTCTTATTGATGTAACGTTGGTTTATACCATTATATAAATTTCAGATGTACATCATTATATTTTAATTTCTGTGTAGACTGTATCATATTCACCTCAAACCATTCTGACCTCAATTCACAGTAAAAAATACATTTTTATATCATGACCCACACACACGTATATGTAAAGAGCCAAATCAAAGTATTCATGAAATCATAGCTACCACTACTATCTATGATGTACTCTGAAATGTACTATTTCATTTTTTAAAAGTTGACCTACTAAATTGATTTTCCCTCCTTAGTGAGCCTTGACCAACACTGAAAATCACTGTTAGGACTCAGCTGCATAAAATGAGGCCCTTGAAAGCACTTCCAGCAGCAACAGCCCGGCCTAGGAGTTTAATAGCGATGCAGATCTCAGGCCCCATGCAGACCTGCAGAATCGGAATCTGCATTTCCAAAGGCTCCAGGAGACTCACTTGCACGTGAAAATTTCAGGTACCCTGGTCTGGGATTCCAGGAAGCCACACTGGCAGAATTGTATCAAGCACTAAAATCAGTGCTGGGGACTCTCTCATAAGTGGAGGATGTGAACCTGAGCAAGGGTACGAAAAATATGCTGACACTCGCCAAGGGCCCTTTTCCCTTGTTGTATGCTGCCAGGGAGCTGAGGAGAGGTGCCAGCCCTTTGCCCTAAGTGACATCTGAAAATCAGAGGTGGCGCTGTACATCGCCTGTGGCTTAGTCACAGCCAGGAGCTCTGAAAGTCCACTTCAAAACACCAGGATGTCTCAATCCCTCTGCATCCAACAGCGGGAACTTCATAGAGCTTTTTTCCAGGAATAAACTCCTAGAAAATGAAGAGACTCCGGACCTGGGTGTGAGGCCCCATGAGGCCATTAGCATCACAGATAACTTTTGTTCTCTCTCTGTCATTGAATGAGGCTGTACTGGTGACCATCTCTAAACTGCCTCCTCTCAAAATCCCCTGAGTTGTCCCTTGAGGTGGCATCACCTCCTCCATCCCCCCCCACCCCCAACCCAGGGCAGGGGAGGAGCGAATCCTCTCTCACTGTCCACTTGCACAGAGGGAAGTATAGTTGTGAATCTCCTTTTGTGAGTGGGGGACACCCTGCTAGAGCACCCCTGGACCCCACCCCTCCATCCCAGCCCACCTCCTGTCTCTAGACATCACAGTCATCCTCGGAGTGGACTTTCCATGCTCGACTGCACATCTTTGTTTATTTCAGGCAAACAAACACTGGCGAGTGCGCTCCACAGGGAAATGCCTGGTGGGCTCCACTTGGGCGGACTCCCAAAGCCGAGCAAGATGCGTTTTGTCTGTTCACCTTCCCGTGGAGGCAAATCAGCCCTGAGGATTAGAATGAAAGCTGGAGGTGGAGGAGGGAATGGGGTGGGCGACTTGGAATAAATGTCAGAGAGATGCCCAGCGATGGAAACCTAATTTCCAGAAATGTGAGAAACGGGCTGACATCACCCCAGCCATGTGAAAGGTCAAACCCTCATTTGGTGTCAGCAGTTTGCTCACTGGGGATGTTGTTTACAGGAAAATGACTCATTTAGCATACCCTATCTTTTAAGACTGTTAGATATTTACTAAGGGCCAGAACTGTGTTGTCTGAATATTTTCAGAAGTAAATATGAGTCATGGAATCTAAGACGAGAAGTATGGGAGGTGCTGTTGGTGCCCCGCCCATGGCCCTTGCTCTCACCTCTACACTCTGGGGGCGGCAAATGCCGAATGCCGGCCTCTGACTCTGCACCTGACTCAGCCCGTGCCCAGGGCACCTGAGAAAGCTGGGAGTCAGCACCCCTGGCAGCAGCCCTCATCCCATCATGCTTGGGAATCGGGTGGATATAGACCAGCTGCCTTACCCCAGCGTTGGGATAATTCAGGGTAGGCTCTCACTGTCCCCCGAGGTCCCCACTGGGACTGAGCTCCAGGTGCCCACAGTGCCACCTGGCCCAACAGAACGTTCTCAGACTTCCTTCTCTCCTCTGTGGGGAAGAATTTCAGGGTCTGCTTCTGGAGAAATCTAACCCAAGGCAATAGGACTGTACCTCAGGAGCTCTTAATAGGTCATAACGGCCCTGTATCCCGAGTTGAGTAATCAGGGAACAGGCTGGCTTACAAGAGGGAAGACATTCCTGTCACTAGAAAGGTGCAGGAAGACCGGGTGACCATCTTAGAGGGGCCCCACCAGGCTTCAAAAAATTAAAAGGCTTGTATAATTGTATTTACCGAGGTGGTGATTAAACTTTCTAAATCCCCACTGCTCTTCCCGTGCCCTCTCACCCAGGGACCTTGAGCTGGTGCTGGGGGAAGGGAGAGGAGGGAAGCTTACACAACCTCGGGCAGCGCACAACCTCCTGGGCCTCAGACTCCTCACTTGGAATACGAGGGAGTTACCTGAGGCGACATCCAGGGTCTCTCCCAGGGTCGAAGTTCTAGGACTTGGCAAGCTGGTTGTGGGAGCGGTCTTTGACTATCGGGGGAGACGAGAGGGGACAATCCAGAGTGCCCTGCACAGAAGCCCCTCCCTGTCTGAGGCTCCGTGTCCTCAGCTGCCATGAGGGGACTGGGTTAGATGACCTCTAAGAGCCTTCTCAGCAGCAACAGTCAGGGTCTTCAGGACTGGCCCCAAAGTCCTGTTTTCCTTGTCACCACGGCTTGGCCTGGGAATGGAGCCTAAATCCTACTCTCTGTGTAACTGTTGCCAAACATCTCCTTGCAGCAGCCCTGAGCCCCCAAGCTACCGGCCAGGGCTGGCATTTGGACCAAATGAAGCAACACAGGTTCCTTACAGAGCTCCCCACCCCATCCCCAAATCGCACTGCCACTGGGGTTCTCTCACGTCCGGGAGTCCCCACCTTCCTTCTAACGCTGAAAAGACAGGCTCTGTTCCTTGCATTTAAAGAATGCCAGGCAGCGGACGGCAGAGGTATTTGGGGGCAACAAGCTCTTCCCAAGGCCTGTGAAAAAAAATACCCCACATTCTGCTCAGTTCTGTCAGTGGTTCAAAAAGCAGGTTGTGGCCAGAAAATTGGAAAGATGTGAAATCAATAAAGCAGTGTTCCAGCCTCCAGGCCAGCTGAGCAGGAAGGGGTCAGGACACTTTCCAATCCAGGTTAGACGTGACTGCCCTAAGACTCCCTCCCAGAATAAAGATCCCACCAGCAGTCAGCTAGCCACCTATCCCATGATTTCCACGGCTTGGGAAGAACATTTAAGAATCTCTTAGAAGATCATCAGCAGGACGGAGGTTTCACCTTAGCACGGAGAGCCTGTGTGATCCTGAGCATGTCACTTAGCTTTTCCACCTCTCAGCTTTGCCGTTTGAAACACAGGCACAAATATGTTAATCTAAGCCTGCTCCATGGCCATGAGTTTCCTGGGGCAAGAGCATTACTTAGGAAAATGAAATGAAACGATACCACCAATGCATTTCCCATGGTCATCTTTGGGTGGATTTGATTGTTCTATATATTCTTCTCATGCTTCTCTGCCATTTCCCAATTTTTGATTACAAGCACATGCTACTTTTATAACAATAAAAGTTAAACATAATTATTTAAAAGAGGGCTCTACACACATACAGTTGTTCACTGTTTAGCCCCATCTGGCTTCCTCACTGGCAACGTCCCCAACTCTTTGCCTTTAGGCTGGAAGGGACCCAGCAGCTCATGCACCCTAACCCTCATCTGACCAATGAGGAGACCGCCCGCCCTCACGTGTGGCCCTGTCAGCTGTACTCCCCGCAGGGAGAACTCACATTTACCTCCTCTGACCTCCTCACCAAGGAAAAGGCAAAGATAACCCAGCAGAGAACTAGCAAATGGAGGAAAGGCAATTTCTTAGATCAAGAAGTTTATGCATCACATTGACGTCCTTTAAACACATCGGCCTTCCTCCTCCCCTGTACTCACGGAGTCTTCCTGGCAGCTTGCAGATTGGCCCCTCGCCCAGCAGGTTCACTCGAGAGGCACCTCGGGCTTGGGTCTGGGTGCCTGGGGAAGGTGTGGCTGCCTCAGGGCTCACAGGAGAACTGGCCAGTGCTCCCTCCTAGAGAGAGGAAAAACCAGGGCCATGAAAGTAGAGCCCCTTGGTGAAGGGTCAGTCATCCTTAAATGTATCAATAATTTTTTTCAAAGGGAAAGAGCATCTATCTCTGCATCTACTTTAAAGGTGGGAACCAGGGGCCGGCCCCACGGCTGAGTGGTTAAGGTTCTTCACGCTCTGCTTTGGCGGCCCGGGTTTCGCGGGTTCGGATCCTAGGCAAAAACCTAGTCCATCATCAGCCACGCTGTGGAGGCATTCTACATACAAAGTAGAGGAAGATTGGCATAGATGTTAGCTCAGGGCTAATCTTCCTCAAGCAAAATTTAAAAAAAGAGGAAGACTGGCAAAGGATGTTAGCTTAGGGTAAATCTTCCTCACACACACACACAAAAGGTAGGAATCATGGATGTCTTCAGCTTGTCAACATCTTGTGCAGACTGGACACTTGATAAATTACATCTTTCCCATTCAAGCTTTTCACGCATGTGCCTAATCCCAGCAGAGGGCTCCCCTGCCAAGACTTGACTTGTAAGCTAGAAATCTGAGGACCTAGGACTCACTGGAACCTTGGGGAGAAGACACAGGGAACCTGAGGGGCCAGGATACAAAGACCTTAAATCAGAAATAAATAAACAAGTAAACGTTATTTTCAAAAGAGAAAAAGAAAGGATAAATCTCTGAATCCCAAGGTCCCATCAAGTAAAGTCTGTATCTTTACAGCTTTACAAGCTGCCCAGCCCCCAGAGGTGAGGTGGCTCATCCATCAGGATGAAAGGATGAAAAGAGTGACAGAACTTTGTAGAAACAGGAGGATCCTGGGGGCTCATGCTCAGCCAAAGGAGGCCACATCATGAAAAGTAAAAGTGAAACCAGTCCCAGCAAGGGTCATTTTCTCATTCTAGGATCCTCAAGAGCATTACATTCATCTCTCGGTGTCTGAGGAGAGCCATCTGCAGAAAGACTGTGGATCTGGAGCCAGTGAAGCAAACTCCAGAAGCCTTGGCCAATGCAGAAGAGGATTCAACACCTTTCGGGGAGCTCTCGCCGCACTGCTGGTCGGCTCCCAGTCCTGCTGCCCCAGTGGATGCTGTTTCCCAGGTAATCCAGCCTCAGAGGCTGCCACCTGGCCACTGGGGCTTGCCAAGCTGGAGAGCTAGGACCTGCAGGAAGCTCCTTGTCTGCTCCTCCACCCTCTTCCAGGCATGAGGAATGGGGAATTCCAGGCTGTGACTGCCTGGAAGAGGCCAGCTGGGGAGCTGCTGAGGGTTCGAGCTCCGTGCTTCAGCATGAAGGTCAGGGAGAGGTCTGATAAAATTTGGATGTGAATATGGATCTTAGAGATGGGGAGGGAGAGGAGAAAGGCCTTGGAGGTGGGAAGTGGGCCCGGATCTGGGGGTGGTTCTGAGGCTCCTAGGGAAATACGGCAAATGGAGGGCAAATGGAGAGGGACAGCTAAGGAGGGAGGCCCCTGCGGGGCTGCGATTGTCAGCTGTGAAGGTCTGGCTTGTGTAGGAACTTCCAGGGACTTCACATCTGGTTGATGTAGGGGTAAGGAGGGGGTAGGAGGAGCAGTATAAAACGCAGAGGATTTCAAAGAGAGAGCGAAGGGCTGGAGGTGAGTCAGGGGCGGTGAAGGGTGGATGGTGAAGTTTGGGAACGCGTTGGAAAGTAAGATTCCAGCCAGAAAAAAGATCTGAAAAAATGGGTACGGAAATTGAGGTGGTGGAGAAGGGATAGGGGGCAGGTGGCTCCGCGGGCGCGCTGCGTGGTTCAGCCGTCAGGCTCTTACCTGCATTACAGGTGGAGGTGAGGGAGCCACCCGGCTGTTCGTCGTGAGAGCTCCACTGGCTGCGGCTGCTGGGCCCTAGGCCGGCGCTCTCAGGCGTTCCTTCCCCAAACCCTCACTTGGCCCTGAAAACTGGAAGGTCGCGTGGGAGGAATCTCTTTCAAGAAGTGCCGGCTGGCGTGCGCTTGGGTTGCCAGGGCGAGCAGGCGCCGAGGGCTCTCCGGTAATTGCTATCCTTCCGGGAAACGAAAACGAAAGAGCGGGATCCGGCTTCCACTCCAGCCCCGGCGGGCTCGGGGGAGGGCATAGGCTAGCCCCGGCGGGAGCGGAGCCCCAGGGCGCTGTCCGCTCGCGGGCAGGGAGGCGCCAGTCCTGCTCGCATCCTCTTGCCGGTGGACAGCCCCTCGGGCAGCCTGACCCCGGCTCCTAGGGGGACGCAGATGGGATTCTGCGGGATCTGGGGAGCCGAGGGAACCCCTGGTCCTGCGCTCCGGACAGCGACAGACCAACTTCATGTCACCCTGTGCGTCTCTGCAGATGGATGAGAGGGGGCTTCCCATGCTGTCCGCCTGGACCAGGTGCCTCGCCCCTTTAGGCACGAGTGAGCTTCCTAGCTCGACCGGCTTCCGCCTGCCGTTTGGCTCCACTGCCCTGGGCCCAGCGCCACCATCAGAGCGCCTGTGGTGCTCCTGACCGAGAACCAAGTACTCAGTGGATCCCCACTGGCACCTGTCCCCAGGCCTCTGGCTGCTCCAGGTGTGGCGCCCATCCACCCATCACCCGTGTGCACCTGCCTCAACTTCCACTGCCTTGAGGGGAAGCCAAGAGAGCTTGTAAGCACTAAAGTAGACACACTGCCAGAGAAAAGGAGGGAAGAAACCTTAATAACCTGCCAAAAATCTAGCGGTGTAGATGCTGTTATAAAGAAGGCTTAGGGCCTGCCATGGTGGAGCGGTTAAGTTCACGCCCTCCACTTCAGCGGCCCAGAGTTCCGCCAGTTCCCATCCTGGGCGCAGATGTGGCACCGCTCATCAAGCCACGCTGAGGCAGCGTCCACATAGCAGAGCCAGAAGGACCTACAACTAGAATATACAACTATGTACATGGAGGCTTTGGGGAGAAAAAAAAAAGAGAGAAGATTGGCAACAGATATTAGCTCAGGTGCCAATCTTTAAAAAAAAAAAAAAATTAGAGGCAGGAGACAGAAAAAGCCATGCCAAGAAAGAAAAAAGAAGATTTAGCAGTGATATACCATGAGCTCCTAGAAACCAGTAAGAACAAGGCCAGAAACCCAAGAGAAAAATGGACAAAGGATATGTATAGACAGTCCACATAAAACACAATGACGAATGGTCCTTGAACATAGAAAAGGATGCTCAGACTGACTCATTATAAAAGATGTGCAAATTAATTATTCTGAGATATTTTTTACCCATTAATTTGGCAAAAATTCATAAGTTTAATAACATAATCTGCTGGAGAGGCTGCGAGTAACGGGCCCTTCACTGGATGTGTAAAGTGGTCCAACTCATGGTGGGCAGTACATCAGGATGTAGCAAAGTCGCAGATGACATTCACCCTTCCCCCAGCAATCCCACTATTGGAAATGTATTCAACAGATATACCTGCACGTATTCAAAATGCCCATGGCTATTTGTTTCAGCACGGCTCATAATGCCAAATGATTGGAAACAACCCAGGCATCCATTACAAAAGGGGCTGATGAAATAAAGTATGGTACATCCATTTAGCAGAATACGGTGCCGCGTCTGACAGAGCTCTCTGTGGACCATGGCAAGCTCTCCAAGGGGCAGTCCAGCACAGCACTGAGGGACTGGGACTCTGCGGACCCTGTCTGGCTTGGAATCTCAGCTATGCCACTTACTGGCTGTGTGCCCTTGAGCAAGTTAGTTAAGCTCTACGCTGCCTCTCTCTACTATTACCTCAGTTTCCTTAACAATAAAACAGAGCTAATAATAATACCTGAGTCATAAGGTAGTTATGAAGAGTAAATGAATTAACATTTACTAAGATACCTAGAACAGTGCCTGACCACCATGCCAAGCAAAAAAAATCAAGGAACAGAACAGTGTGTATTACATGCTACCTTTTGTGTGTAAATATATATATATATTTTTTTAACTGGTATTTGTACAAACTCTGGAAGGATATATAACAAACTAATAAACATAATTAGAATTCAGGATAGAAAATAAGAGCAAGGGTTTTCATTATAAACCTTTTTATAGTGTTTTGATTTTTGAACTATGTGAATAAATACCTATTCAAAAAAATAAAATAAACAAATAAGAAGGAAGTTTTAGGACCTGTTCCATGCCAGCAACCCAAAACCTAGGTGATGATGGAAACAAAGGCATTGCCTGAGACAGACTGAAAAAATAGACATTTCCATTTGGAAGGACAAAGATGATGTTACATATGATCAAAGTCTACAGAATTATGAACCCATATGAGCAGGAATAAATGAAATCCCTCCCTCGCAGAAGAAATATGCACAGGTGTTTCATGCTCAATAAAATAACAAAATTTATTTCATTTTTTAAATAACACTTTTCCTACAAAGAACTCAAAACGCATATATAAAACTTATAATTTATAACAATAAACTTTCTTAATACTTGTAATACTTCTAAAAGGGGCGAAAGGGACTTCGAGGTAGCCAGAAAGGTGAAGGGGAAGACCAGGCACTGCAGATCTGGACCTGGGCAACAAGACGGGGCCAACAGGTCACTGGAGAGCCTGGTCCTCAGGGAGGGGCCCAGGAGCAAGCGCCCATTTCTGTGACCTCCTGTTTGAGGATGAGGTTCAATTTCTCTCATGGAAGGAGATGTGCAAAGTTTCCTTACAAGGAGCACTGGGACCACCCACAGTGCTGGTGTTTCCTACATGGCAAGGCCTCCTGGGTTCCTAAGTATTCCCTGGGCTCTACCGTGAGGCAGTCACAGACATCTCAGAGTTGGTAGTTCTGAACGGACAAATTGCCAGTGAGTCCACAGTTCTCCAACAAATCAGGAATAAACCAACAGTGATGGGTAAAAATGAGAGGGGGAGGGAGAAGGGTCTTCTTCCCATCTGTCCTGGGGGGATTCACATTTTCTCAGACAGTAGAAGGAAAGAAGAACTTGACATTTACGTTCCTTCTACATCAAATGGTTATTCCAGAGAAAGCGCAGCAACGTGTGAACTCCTCCAAAGAAAACTAAGACAAAATGAGCCAGTGCGTCTCTGCCGTCCTGCTGAAGATCCTGTTTAAAAAGAGAGAGAAAGCAACTATTAACAAACCTAAAAGGAGATATTAACAACAACACAATAATAGTAGGGGGCCTTAATACCTCACTCACATCAATGGATAGATCCAGACAGAAAGTCAACAAGGAAATAGTGGAATTAAACAAAAAACTAGACCAGATAGACTTAACAGATATATATAGAACATTCCATCCAAAAACAGCAGAATACACATTCTCCTCAAGTGCACATGGAACATTCTCAAGGATAGATCATATGTTGGGAAACAAGGCAAGCCTCAATAAATTTTAGAAGATTGAAATCATATCAAGCATCTTTTCTGACCATAATGCTATGAAACTAGAAATCAACTACAAGAAAAAGCTGGGAAAGTGACAAATATGTGGAGACTAAACAACATGCTACTGAAAAACCAATGGAGCATTGAAGAAATTAAAGGATAAATAAAAAAATATCTGTAGACAAATGAAAATACACCATACCAACTCATATGGGATGCAGCAAAAGTGGTCCTAAGAGGGAAATTCATAACAATACAGGCTCACCTTAACAAACAAGAAAAGTCTCAAATAAGCAATCTTAAACTAAACCTAACAGAACTATAAAAAGAAGAACAAATAATGCCCAAAGTCAGCAGAAGAAGGGAAATAATAAAAATTAGAAAAGAAATAAGTGAAATTGAAACCAAAAAAAGAGTAGAAATGATAAATGAAACTAAATTAAGAGCTGGTTCTTTGAGAAGATAAACAAAATAGACAAACACTTAGCCAGACTCACTGAGAAAAAAAGAGAGAAGGCTCAAATAAATAAAATTAGAAATGAAAGAGGAGAAATTACAACAGATACCACAGAAAATACAAGGGATGATAAGAGAGTACTATGAAAAACTGTATGCCAACAAATTGGACAATCTAGAAGAAATGGACAAATTCTTAGACTCATACAACCTCCCAAAACTGAACCAAGAAGAAATAGAGAATCTGAATAGACCAACAGACAAGTAAAGAGTTTGAAACAGTAGTCAAAATCCTCCCAAAAAATAAAAGTCCAGGACCAGATGGCTTCTCTGGAGAATTCTACTAAACATTCAAAGAAGATTTGATACTTACCCTTCTCAAACTATTCCAAAAAACTGAGGAAGGTAGACTACTTCATAACACATTCTACAAGCCCAACATCACCCTAATACCAAAGCCAGACAAGGACAACACAAAGAAGGACAATTATAGGCCAATATCGCTGATGAACACAGATGCAAAAATCCTCAATAGAATATTGGCAAACTGAATACAGCAATACATTAAAAAGATCATACACCATGATCAAGTGGGATTTATACCAGGGACACAGGGATGGCTCAACATCCGCAAATCAATCAATGTGATACACCACATTAACAAAATGAGGAATAAAAACCACATGATCATCTCAATAGATGCAGAGAAATCATTTGACAAGATCCAACATCCATTTATAATAAAAAAACTCTCAATAACATGGGTATAGAAGGACAGTACCTCAACATAATAAAGGCCATATATGACAAACCCACAGCCAACATCATACTCAATGGGGACAAACTGAAAGCCATCCCTCTGAGAACAGGAACAAGACAAGGGTGCCCACTCTTACTCAACATAGGCCTGGAGGTTTTGGACAGAGAAATTAGGCAAGAAAAAGAAATAAAATGAATCCAAATAGGCAGTGAATAAGTGAAATTCTCACTGTTTGCAGACAACATGATTTTATATATAGAAAACCCTAAAGAATCCACCAGAAAACTATTAGAAATAATCATCAACTACATCAAAGTCACAGGGTACAAAATCAACTTACAAAAATCAGTTGCACTTCTATACTCTAATAACAAACCAACAGAAAGAGAACTCAAGAATATGATCCCATTTACAATCCCAACAAAAAGAATAAAATATCTAGGAATAAATTTAACCAAGAAGGCGAAAGACCTATATGATGAAAACTACAAGACATTATTGAAAGAAATCGATGATGACATAAAGAAATGGAAAGATATTCCATACACATGGGTTGGAAGAATAAATATAGTTAAAATGTTCATACTACCTAAAGCAATCTACAGATTCAATACAATCCCAATCAGAATCCCAATGACATTCTTCACCAAAATAGAACAAAGAATCCTAAAATTCACATGGGGCAACAAAAGACCACGAATAGCTAAAACAATCCCAAGAAAAAAGAACAAAGCCGGAGGCATCACAATCCCTGACTTCAAAAGATACTACAAAGTTATAGTAACCAAAACAGCATGGTACTAGTACAAAAACAGGCACACAGATGAACAGAACAAAATTGAAAGCCCAAGAATAAAACCACACATCTACGGACAGCTGATCCTTGACAAAGGAGCTAAGAACAAACAATGGAGAAAGGAAAGTCTCTTCAACAAATGGTGTTTGGAAAACTGGACAGCCATATGCAAAAGAATGAAAGTAAGACCATGATCTTTCACCATACACAAAAATTAACTCAAAATGGATCAAAGACTTGAAGGTAAGACCTGAAACCATAAAAGTCCTAGAAGAAAATATAGGCAGTACACTCTTTGACATCGGTCTTAGAAGGATCTTTTTGAATACCATGTCTACTCAGACAAGGGAAACAAAAGAAAAAACAAACAAGGAGGACTTCATCAGACTAAAGAGCTGCTGCAAAGCAAAAGAAACTAGGCTCAAAACAAAAAGTCAACCCACCAACTGGGAGAAAATATTTGCAAATCATATATCTGACAAGGGGTTAATTTCCAAAATATATAAAAAACTCACACAACTGAACAACAAAAAACAAACAACCTGATCAAAGAATGGGCAGAGGATATGAACAGACATTTTTGCAAAGAAGATATACAGATGAGCAAGAGGCACATGAAAAGATGTTCAACATCTCTAATCATCAGGGAAATGCAAATCAAAACTACACTGAGATATCACCCTGCACCCATCAGAATGGCTATAATTAATAAGTTTAGAGATAATAAGTGTTGGAGAGGATGTGGAGAAAAGGGAACCCTCATCCACTGCTGGTGGGAATGCAAACTGGTGCAGCCACTATGGGAAACAGTATGGAGATTTCTCAAAAAATTAAAAATAGAAATACCATATGACCCAGCTATCCCACTACTGGGTATTTATCCAAAGAACTTGAAATCAACAATTCATAGAGACTTATGCACATAGGGGTCTATGTTCACTGCAGTATTATTCACAATTGGCAAGATGTGGAAGCAACCCAAGTACCCACTGACTGATGAATGGATAAAGCAGATGTTGTATATATACATATATGTATATACATAAAGGAATACTACTCAGCCATAAAAAAAGACAAAATCATCCCATTCGCAACCACATGGATGGATCTTGAGCGTATTATGTTAAGTGAAGTAAGCCAACCAGAGAAAAGCAAACACGGCATGATTTCACTCACATGTGGAAGATAAACAAACACATGGACAAAGAGAACAGATTAGTGGTTACCAGAGGGGAAGGGGGTCGGGGGATGGGCACAAGGGGTAAAGGGGCACATTTACATGGTGACTGACAAATAATAATGTACAACTGAAATTTCACAATGTTATAAACTATTATGACCTCAATAAAATAAAAAAAAATTTAGAAAGAGAGAGGTTTAACAAAAAGCAATAGAATAAGTCAAAGCTAGAGATGCAATGTTAATACTAATTCAATCAACGCTGCACAGCGGCTTCTGGGGCTGCTTTACGAACTGTATGAGCGGAGGAGTCCGTCTCGGTCTCTTCTACAACGTCCAGACCCTCCATGCCGCCCCGGGAAGTTTTCCTCTCCCCGTGTTTTCCTATCTTAACCATCAGCCAATGGGGGCATTCTTCTCAGGGCTCATAACCTCTTCCTCTAGCTTCCCAGAGCACTTTCTTAGTCCTTTCAAAGAAGCAAGGAGGTTTGCTTTGGGGTTGGAAGAATGGATAGACTTAGATGGGTGAAGAGGGGAGTAAATGTGAGCAAAGTTGGAGGTGACAAAGAGCACAGCAAATGCCACTGTTTCTACAGTTAAAGGAGAACATCAGGAGAGGGAGGCCAAGGGTCGGCGACAAACGCGTCCCTGCCCCTCCTGCAGTCTATTCGCAACCCAGCAGCTTCGGTTGACTGTTGAAATGTGCCTCCGCTCAGTGCTCCCTTATGGTTCAGCCTCAGTCAGAAGAAAAGTCCTTACTTGACCTCCAGGCCCTGCCTGACCGGGCCCCCACCACCTGTCTGACCATATCTTTTACTACTTTCGCCCTTGCTCAACTTCAGCCATACCGGCCTCCTTGCTCTATTCTTCAAACATGCCAGGCATTCTCCTGCCTCAATCTTGTCCTCCAGCTGCCTCCACTGCTCTCCCCCAGATGTCAGGGCTCCCTCTCCTACCTCTGTAAAGGCCGTGCTCAGAACTAGGCTCCTCAGCGAGGCCTTCCCATAACTCCTCTACTTAAAACTGTAAACCCCCTAATACTCCTCATCCCTTTCCTTGCTTTATTTTTCTCCAAAACATTTGTCACTATTTGATAAGCTATATACTTTGTTTGTTTATTTTTTGTCTCCCTTATAGAATATAAACTCCATGAGATTAGGGAGTTTTGTCTCTTTTGATCACTGCCATATCTCCCATACTTAAATGGAGTCTGACACACAGTAGGTGCTCAGTAAATATTAGTTGAAGAAATGAATAAATGATAAACCATTAGCAGCAGGCTAAGGAATTTAGACTTTGTCCTACCAGTAACTGGGAACCATTAAAGGATTTCTTCCCTTTTATAGTTGATATCAGTTAGGAAATTGAATGAATTTCCTTCCAGCAAGGCAGATGAGAAAATGTATACAGCACTGAGTCAGATGCTCATATATTTAAATTCCAGTTTTGCTACTTAGTTGCTGAGTGACCTAAGATAGGTTACCTAACCTCTCTGAACCACAACTGGTTCCATGGAAATACCTGT